ATCCTTGGGGTGAGTAGGTGCTCAAATACTGAAAGTACCCACTGTGCAGAGGCACACAGGGAGGCTCAGGCCCCTGCAGACCAACAGCAGCATCCCCTGAAGATCGTCCCTCTGAGGCCTTGGCTACCATAAGAGGCATCTGGTGAGAGATGAAAGTGGTGTACAAAGGAGTCCTTACCCTCAGAGCAGAGGCTCCAGATGCTCTCAGGACAGAATACTGGCCAGTGAGGGCAGCCCTAGGTGCCAGGCGGAGGTAAACAGCAGACAGATAGGCTTATAGGATGCCCTGCTACTGGAGGCTGCCTGTGATATACCTAATCCTGTGGGAGCCCATCAGAGAAGCCTCAGGAGAATTCAGTGCTTGGTGTGGCGTGGGCCACCCTGGGAGCAGGGCAGCAGCAGGCAGGGACCCTGGTCTGATGGCACCTGGCCCTGGAAGCTGGCGGTCTCAACAGGTTCTGTTCTCTGTGCCAGGGAGTACAAAGTATGGCTAGTACCCTTACTTCTGTGGCAGATGGAATGTGCCTGTTTCACATCTCAGTATTGTTTTTACAACAAATCTGGGGTGCCAAGGGCAAGCTTGGGACTATGTGACTTGGGCACGAGTGTCTGACCTGCTTGTGAGAATAATAAAATGCATCAGAGGGTCAGAATCTGATGCCAGCATGCGTGCTCAAGGACATAGGTCATTGGAAAGCCCTGAGGTATGAGATGTGGGAACAAGGAACTGTTCTGGGATCAGATCATCCTCCAGGAAGTACACTTCTCAGAGCAGCAGAGCTTGGAACCACCTGGATTCCAGGTGTATGAACTGCTAAGAACATTAGATGGGGGGCAAGGGAGAGAGAAACCAAGGCCAAATTATTGGCAAATAGAGTAGCTAACTTTTTAGCACCATAAATATTTCCACCATCCATCTGGCAATAAGAGTTCAGTATGAATTCATGAAAATATGGTGGCAGTGACTAAAGAGGTGATGGTGGTTGTGGTGAGGATGGTGGTAATGATGGCAATGGGGTTCATGATGGTTGGTGGTGACAGTAGTGATGGTGGTAATAGAAATTGAAGAAATGAGGAGGCTGGCGTTTGAGACTACAGGTAGATCTAGGCCCTCTCTGCGTTTCTTCCATCAATTCCTCATTCATTCATTTATGAAACACCTATTCTAAAGTAAGCCCTTGGCTGGGCACATGATCTGGAGGACAAAGTGCTCCTGCCCCCAGGTCCTTCCCCTCCGGTCCACCAAACAATGGTGTCCAGTGTAGCATGTGCCAAGTTCCCCTGGGGAAGGAGCCACATTCAGTGTCAGGCTGCCAGGGAAAGCCCCACAGAAGCTGAGACAGATGAGGGCAGAACTGGAGGGGGAAGTACAGGTGGGGGCACATGTGGGGCCTGGGCATGCTGCCTGAGTGTGTCCTCCCTGGGAAGGAGCAGCAGGATGAGCTGGAGGATGCAGCAGGATGAGGAGGAGGATGGGAGGTGCTGGAGAGCTGACTCCTGTGCTCGAGGGAGTAAGGAATAGCCCCACTGCCCAGAAGGTTTAGTTTGTTGGAAGCCTCTTTCTTTGTCTGCCTTTAGAGCTGGCCCTCCCTACTTCTCTCCTGCCTGGGGCACTGGGTCTGCCTAGGTGGCCTGGGCCAGAGCTGTGGGGGCCTGGCCCCAGAGCTGGGGGTGAGGCTGCCCCCAGATTCTCTGCCTGCTGCCTTCTGCCCAATAGCAGAACGTGGGGTTGGGCAGCAGTCGCCAGATGGGGTGTGCTTTAATGACTGGATTAGAGCGGTTTACTCAAGTCAGCAAGTTACTCATCTCCTGCCTGAGCTTTGAGTCTCTTTTTCCAGTGAGGAAATCAGACTCCATCCTTTCACAGCCATAAAAGGCTCTGCCCCCAGCCCCTCTGCAAGGCTGTGATGGAGAAGAATCAAAGGATCTGGGTCCTAATCCTCCTCTGGCCAAGACCCCTTCTGATAACTCAGAGATCAGAGTTCAGCTCTGTCACTGACCCTGCCCAACCCCAGATTCCAACCAGAACAGCTGCCTCCCAGGGCTGCCGTGGACAAGGTGTTCATGCACGTTGCATTCCATGTGCAGCCGCACCCGCTGTTACCGGCAGCCTGCCCTGCACACCGCCGCCCTCTACTCTGTCCATAACAAAAACGCATGACAGCAATGACCACAGACACAGTGAGGTCACCGGGTGAAGTGTCCTTTGTTCATTAGCATGCCATCTGTACTTTATTCTTAAATGGCACCTGGAATGGCCCTCTGGCCTCCCAGAGGGCCTGGACACAGGACGAGTGTGACACAGGATCATGGCACATGGTCTATTCCAGCGTGCCTGGCATCCCAAACTGGTTCCCAGAAAGGCTGAGGAGGACATTTTTCATTCACCCAAGTGACATTCAGGGAATATGGAGAAGAGCTAGCAACAGCTTTCTGAGAACCCCTGGGAGGAAGAGAGCCCCCAGCGGACATACGATGTTTCGGCCTGAGGCCTGGACGTGGTCCTCCTCCTGGGGACGCTCACCCTGCTGGGGAAGGAATCCACCACTGGTACCTGTGCACCAGCTGAGCTGTTTGGCAATGGTGTTGGTTGGTGAGGGGTGCTGAGGTGCTTAGGGGTGTGGAAGGAAGGACCCAGGGAAGTCCCTGAGCCTCGTTGCTGGACTGGATGTCTATACCTCGAGTAGGAAGCTGGACGGGGTCACGTATGGGGCCCTGGATTCTGCCAGTTCTGTTTTCCAGCACCTGGAAAGGTCACTGGCCTTTGATTCTGGTAAATTCTTGTTGGCTTAAGGGCTGAGTTCCCTCTCTGGGCCTGGCCTGAGAAGACCTCCTGTTCTCTCCAGGTGGAGGCAGGGACACAGAGTGGATGCAGGCGTCACGCAGGAAGCACTTTTGCTGTCAGACGTGACTCTGGACAATGATAGGCTAATGTTTCCAGGCTTTTAAGGCCAAACGCTTGCGTGTATAGAGACCTAAAAGTGTCCCTGCTTCCTTGGGAATTTCTTGAACATTCCGGAGTCTGAGATAAGGGAGACCTTTAGGGTTTACATAATGATGCTGGCCTTTTAGAAGCCATTCTGTGTGGCTTCATAACCCCTTGGCTGGGGCGGAAGGGTAGGGAGGTGCCACACTGCCCCTCTCCACGAGGCTGTGGAAGGTGGGCAGCACCAGGGTGCACACAGAGGGCCCAGCCCCCATCCTGCAGGAGCTGGGGGCCTGGGGTGGGCTTGAGGAGGCCCCGGCTGGCATGGGAGAAGCCTGTGAGCCACTCTGCTAGTCCCTCTGGGTCCACCATCCTAAAGACTCAGGGCCTCTGAGAAGAGAAGAAGCTTTACCCGTCTTATAGATAAAGAAATTTCTCAGCAGAGAGAAGCGGCTCCATCACTGTGGGAGGTAGAGATTGTCCCCCCTACAGTCAGGGCTAATGTAGCCTGAGGGTCTGAATAAGCCCCCAGTGAAAGTCTGGTTAAGACTGGACCAAAGCCTGTGTGTGTGCATGAATGTTCTGAACCCGTTGGTGAGGAAATGCCCTGAGACCAGGCATCTGCTGGCCTGTTTTCCTGATTAACAGTGCATTTCCTTCCCCCTGGGTGCTGGGCTGGCCGCTTCCATGCCCTCCCTCACTGGACAGCCCTGGGCTGCCTGAGCCCCACTGACGTTGTCCTGCTCTGCAAGTGGAGCCCCCGGCCCCCAGCCTCTGCAAGGGAAGGCCTGGGTGGAGAAGGGCGGTGGTCAGACACCCAGCTCGAGTCTCAGTCTTGGGTGTCCTGGCTCCCCTAGCCAAGGCTCCCTCAAGTCCAGAGACTGTGAGAAGGACCTTGGTGGTGGGATAAGAACAAGGAGAAAGTGACATCCACGCTGCTGTCCCCTGTGCAGGCTATGGCCATGGGAGTGACAGGCACCTCCCACCACCAGCTGTGTGAATGAAGGGCAGCTCCCAGTGGGCAGGAGCCCATCAGGACCAGAGGCCCCTGAAAATGTCTCTCCCATCCCCAGCCTCAGTGTCCCCATCTGTGAAATGGGGAGTATATTACCTCTAGGTTTCCTCATCACAGAAGTCCCCACACTTCTGAGGCCTGGATGTTAGAAGTAAGAGTCCCATGGGCATCTCATAGGGTAGCTCCAAGAAGAGCTAGCCCCCTCTGAGAGGAGGTCATGGGGTCATGCTCCTCAGCAGGGCATGCGCTCGCTGAAAGGTGGAAGGGTGTGAGCAGAGACAGGAGCGTGGAGGAGCAGTGACAAGTGTGGGAAAGAGCAGCTGGCCATGACCGCAGCCTAGAAGGTGGGGCCAAAGGCAGGCTGAGCCAGTGACAGCTGGGCATCTGTGTGACCAGGACTCAGGCAGGCATGGACACTGGCTCCACTTGTAGACGTCCGGCATGGGCAAAAATCTCTGGCCTCCCTCATATCTATGTCAGGTGATGTCCAAGGGCAGGTTTGAAGGACAGTTTGTCCAGCCTGGTGTGGCCCTCGTTCACATGTGGCCCAGCTCAGGGCGATTCCCGTCCTCTCCTGTGGCTCATGCTTAGCTGCATCTCTGGGCATTGAGGCAAGAGCTGCTCTGCCCAACAGCTTTGAGGGGAATTGGGCTGGTGGCACGAACCTGGCAGTGGCTGGTAAATACGTGATAACCAGCTCCCTGGGGAGGAGGAGCCTGATCTGTGCTGTTTGCCAGGTGTCATGGGCCACTAGCGCGGAGACGGGGAGAGGCACACTTCAGCTCCACCCTGCAGATGGGAGGGACACAAACAAGCTAGTTAGGAAGAGATGAGATTTAAGTACCTATTACTTTTAAAATATAATGTATTTAATTGTAAATTTTCATAACTTCGTGTTTAATGATGATTGTGTTTAACTGGTAAGCAGAATTCTTGGAAATTTAACAGACAGATCTCAAAAGCTGGTACAAGCTGGAGGCAGCACAACAGGGCATGCACTCTTCAACTGGAGGTTTTCTCAGTGACAAACCCCCTCTGGTTTTCTCCCATTTTCTGTAGGCAAACCAGGGAGCAGGAGACACCCCCTGACTTTTTCTATTTCTCTGACTACGAGAGGCACAATGCAGAGATCGCTGCCTTCCACCTGGACAGGTGAGCCCTTCCTCCGCCCACCTCCCCTTGAGGACCATAGCCAGTTCAGGGGTGTCATGCATTTGCTCACTCAGACCCATTCCAAGCTCCTACCTAAGCCCCTGAACTGTTGGCTCTTCTGCATGGGGGGTACAATAGCACCCACTAACAACAGCAACACTAATAGGTACTTTCTCCCTGGTGGTGGCCCTGTTTGGGGCACCGTGTGTATCTCAGTTCCTTCAGCCATCATGTACCCTACAGGTAGACACCATCATATCCCCATTTTACAGATGAGGAAATCAAGGCACCACAAGAAACTATTTTTGCAGAGTCCCACACTCCCCTACCGTACAGCTGGGAATGGGGGAAGGAAGAATGGGAGAGGAAAGTGTTGAGTGCTATGAATTTCAACACAGAGAACAACAGGTACAAACCTCTCTGGAGATCAAAGCAGCCTTCCTGGAGGCAGCAGTGTTGCAATGCGAGGGCCCAGCCAAACAAGAATTCATCTTTAGGCTCCATTGGCCCCTTGCTTGCAGGGGAGGTGTGGAGGGTGAGCAGCCCTGCCAGTTGGACTTCTCAACCTCTCCTGGGGCTAAGTGTTCTGTGCCCTCATGGGGCAGTTTACAGGTCTGACCCTGGTTCAGTGGGGTCCAGAGGGTTGAGAGACCCCCCACAGTCAAGTGCAGTATAAGGAGAGGCACCCCTGGCCTGCATCATGGGGCCCTAATAGGACAGTGTGTCACAGCCCAGACTGTGGCCAAGGGCCAGCAAGATTGGTGGCTCCTGGGGTTCAAGAGAATGCAGAGTCCTATTCTCCACCCAAATCTTTGGACCAGAATCTGCATTTTAACAAATCCCAGATGATTCATGCACATTGAAGTTTGGGAGGATTTTTTAAAGATAAAAATCTATGTGATGACTACAGAAATCCCCAGAAGTAAGATTTTTACCAATTTTAACAATGTAAAGCAGCCTAAACCCAGAAACGGTCCCTTCTGTAAAAAGATAAATAGTGGCCATGAAGCCAGTGAGGGTCACCCCTCAGGAAACATGGGTCCCCTTGGTGGGCTCATACGTAAAGCAGGGACAACTTTACACCAGTGAACCTGCTGTGGGAGGAAGCGACAGGAGCTCCATGCAGAGGTGTGGGTGGACACTGGGCCCTGGGCCAAGGGTGGACAGCCATGATCCTGCACACCTGGCCACTCTCCACAGAGGACCACTGTGCAGGGCCATTGCGATGTCCCACATCTCTGTGTAATTAAGCAAGCGGCGACATGTACAGTGCCATTCAGAAAGACTTCCATTAAAAGTGGTTCATTTAATTTTATTTTAAATTCAGCACTGGAATGGGCATGTTTTAGTTGCACTTGACATAGGGCCAATCAGTGTAGTGTTGCCAACCCCAGTCCTCCTGGGATGCATTTCTGCCCCATCACTGAGAGTCCCACGCACAGCCATGCCCAGAGCCGAGTTTAAACAAAGGTGGAGTGAGGCGTGATTGCAGAGAGAGGTATGGTGTACCCAGAAGGCGCCTTGCAGGGTATAGACTCCCTTTTCTGTCTGCTTCTTGCCAGAATCCTGGACTTCCGTCGGGTCCCTCCAGTGGCGGGCAGGATGGTCAACATGACCAAGGAAATCCGGGATGTTACTCGAGATAAGAAGTTGTGGAGAACCTTCTTCATCTCTCCAGGTAGCTTTGCGTGGGGGCCGCCCCAGTGGATTACTGAACCATGGGTACTGTGGGCTCTGATGCCCCGTTAGCCAGAGGTGGAAAACTGTTCTTACCCTGCTGGTCTCCCGCGGGGAGGCACCATGTGCCCTTCCATGTTCACATGTGGCTGTACACACAGGCTGCAGGAGCTGCTGGAAATGATTGTGCTACCATCATTTACCCAACCCTGTGCTGCCCAGAGAGGTTATTTCTACCATTTGTTTATTTTAAAAGGCAAAATGATTCACTTTTGGAAACTGCTAGCCTCTCCAATAATAAGTCTTCTCCAGGTAGTGTGGCCAGAGGAGACCTTTGTCCTCTGAAGCCTTCCCCAGACTTAAAAACACCCTAGCAGGATCCCTCTCACTTAGAGACAGGGCCAGGTGGCTTCCCCTTCCTCAATTCAGCAGCTGGGTGGTGATGCCCCTGGGTGAGCACAGAGTGTGCTGACTATTAGGTGGAGACATACATGTCTGCGGGTGCTGACGTTCATAGAAACCTCCCAGATTCGACTGGCACACCTCGGCACACAGATAGATACAGCCGATGTTCTGCTTAATTACCTGCCCCAGTTGCTTTAAACCTGGCATTTCGGCCCCACCAGTTGGTCCATCCCTCCTCCATAGGCTCCTTCGTCACACCAGGCCTGTGTCTAGCTATCACCGGGCCTGAGCTCTGGGAGCCCTTTGCTCTGTCCTACACTTTTGTCACTTATAGTCCCTTTTGAAGGTGCACATGTGGTTCCAGCAATGCCAGGCCAAGTGGAACAAAGTGACCCAAAGTCACCAGGGTGGACCCCCCAGGAGTGATGTCGTTTGGGTTATGTGCTTACACCCCAGGAGGAACTCAGCTGCACTCTCCACTGACTCTCTCTAATTCACACAGATAAAATCCAATTGAGGCCCCTGATTAGCTGTGTCTTCAGATTTGCTGGCATATAAAACCTTGACCTAAAAGCTCGTTTTTTGTAGATATTTCAGGTGGATATATCATACTCTGCACTTTTTCTTAACTGCATTCATAAATTTATCAGAGCCAGGGCCCATGAACCCACACTTAATTAGGCTCCATTTTATCACACACAGCTCACTGAGATCCTTTTGTGGTTTCTTCCTCCCAGCGCCTGTTAATAAGAGAAAAATAGGACAGGAATCCCCCAGAGGTGGGGAGAGCTCCCTGCTGCCTTGGCCCATCAGTGCCTGGCCTGGGATGACCAGAAACTGAAGGGCAGGAGGAGAGCACCTGTGTGTTGGGTCTTTGGGGGCCTTTTGGTCAGTGGAGCCTGAGCCATCTGCAGTGCCCCATATGGCAGGTAATTTGTTTGGATGGCCTGAGCTTTAGGAAGGTCCAGTCTGGGGTCCCAGAACTTCCTGCTGGGGTCCCACAGGCACTTGAGCCCTGTGCGGGTTTAGAGGTCAACCCCAACTCCTCTCCCCCAGCCTCAGCACCTCCACCATCCAGCCTTTGCCTCCTGGCCCACTGTCCACGATGACTAACCACCTGACAGTGACCACCATGGCTGAGCCCCACTAGCTGTGCCAGGGTGCTAGGACTCTTACTCATTTCTGTTACAGTTTCTATTGTAACTTCTATGGTGATTTATTGCAAAGGTTCCAAATAGTATTCAGAGGATGACATCTCCTTCTCGGGTGCCTACACCCACCTTAGCAATCGCTAACATTCTTCTAGCTCAGACTCGATTCTCTGCATTTCCAACCAGGCCTGATTTCTGGGGCTGTCAATTCAGGGCCAGGCAGAGAAGAGCCAAGATGCCCCTGGTACGGCCAAGAACATGCCCTGGGGGAGGCCATGCAGGCTGGATAGTGTTACCTTGCACCAGGATAAATACACTCCCCACTGGGTAGAGCCTGCACCCTCAGCATCCAGGAGTTGGGCAGGAGAGTGGACCCAGGACCTGGCTCCCCTAAACCCCTTACAGCTGATGCTCCTGCCAGGGGTGAACGGGGGTGGGGGAGCCCCGTTGGAAAGTCCTTCCTTGGGACAAGGAGGGGGCTGTGCTCTCAGCACCCCCACCTTGGTACCAACTGGGGGCTTCTCTGCCCACACTGGGAAGGATCCTGGCGACAGGACCATGGAATCTCGAGTGCCCCCCAGGGTTTGCTGAGTGCATCTCTGGGCTTCCGCCTCTGGTTCTAAGGTCAAGCTTGTGGGGCAGGTTGAGTCCTCCTCCCGCTTCTGAGCTCTTACTGAGGTGAGGTTACGCAGTGAAAGGCACGTGTTTAAACACACAGTTTGATGGTGTCGATTGCTGTATCAGTACACCTGTGACACCATCACCACAGCCAGGACACACACGAGTTCTGTCCTTGGGGTCATTTGCTTTACCTATACTTTGCACTCCTGGTGGCACACAGTACCCACCCTTAGTGTCGGCTTCTCCAACTCAATGTCGTAATCTTGAGATTCTTGTTGACGAACATTGCTCAGGTGGGATTCGGTAACTTGCCCAAAGTTACCAAAGTGGAAGTGGAGGGGCTGGGGTTCAAAACTCAGGAAAGGGAAACCAAGAAGTTTCCACACTGAATTTTCCTTCCTCTGACATTAGAGGCCTCCCAAGAGCAAAAACGGCAGCCTTGGATTTGGGCTGTCAGGAAGGAGCCACAAAAGGCTTCTGTGTTCCAGAATTTTCAGAACTGGTGTTTTAGGTGCATTTTGTAATAGTAAAAGATTGTGGATTTTTTTTCCTGTTTTTTTTTTTCATTTAAACAAAAGACTGAGTTGACTATTAGTCTAAGGAGGTGAACTGAGACACTTCCTTGACATTTGGAATTTTTCTCAGGCGGGGCTTCTGGTCACGGGTGTATCCCAAGAGCTCCTGATGGCAAGGCCACTACACTAGCTGCTGCCATTCGTGTCATGTCTCAAATCTCTTTCCTTGTCCCTCTGATTAGCCATCTGCCAGCCTGACCCCTGCTCCTAGTGTCTGGCATCTTCCAGGCAGCTGCAGGCCTGTCTCTAGAGCCCTGAGGCCCTCGCTTGGCCATGTGGATGAGACCAGCCAGGCTCAGGCCCAGCACTACCAGCTGCGTCTAAGCACAGCGTCCCTGATCCTGCTGTAGCCCAAGTCACCCCCATCCTGCCAGCCTTTGATAACATGTGGCTTTGTCTAGAGCTGTAGGGCCGCTGGAGCCAGCATTGATCATTTTAGAAAATGAGATCCGTTAGGGTTTGTTTTTGTCCTTTTAGCTTTGCAGTCCCTTCTGGACCTACCAATACCACATCACCATTACTGCTCTACTGGAAAGCAGGGTGCATGTTGGGAGGCCGAGTCCACTGTGCACAGCCCTCTGCCTTGGATACCTGGATACCTCTCCTCTGGGTCAGTTGAGACAGAGAAATACTCATTGGCCAGTGAAGAGCTGAGAGCAGAGAAAGGGACCAGCAATGGCTGTGGGCCAGGGGTAACAAAAGGGTGAGTGGCAGGGGCAGAAGCAGTGCTTGGGCCAGCCACAACCTTGAGAGCAGCAGGCAGGCCTTTGTAGCAAAGGGTTATGGATCCTTGTCCAGAGAGGGCAGCTAGCTCCCAAGGCCACACAGCCATGGGGAGGCAGCGCCATGGTCAGAGCTCTAGACACCCATAAGACTGGCCAATTCTTGCCAATGTCATAGACATATGGGAAGGTGCACAGATGTCTGTACCCTGTTCTTCAGAACAAGGCACAGGCCAGGAACAGCTCCTGAAGCTCCTGTCCCATGGCCCCCATTCTGCACAGACTGGCCTCACACACCATGAAATGGGCCTTTCTTCCAGCCACGTTGGCCTGGGCTTGGCTAGGTGGTCACCGGGACTCTGTCTACACACTGTCCAGGTCAAATGTGCATGGAGGGAGAGAGGGGTTTCCCACAGTGGATCCTCTGCCCACAACCTCCTGAAAGCAAAGGGGATAGGCCTGTGGCTGCCTGGAAAATACCAGACACCAGGAATAGGTATCAGGCTGGTAGACAGCTGCCACCCCAGATGACAATACACCACCTATATTGGCAGTCCAGGACAGATAATGGCCAATGCCCTCCTGGTAAGATTCACCTGCCTGCTGGGTTAGCTGCAACATTCAGATAGAGGATGTCAAAGGCTCTCAGGCCTCTTGGCACTGACAGAAGCCACACATTGCCCTACTCCAAGTCCAGACCAGGGCTCCTCCTGCGAAAGAACCACCTGTGTCTCCATTTTCAGGGGATTGGCAGAGGTGACACCTGGAGACCTGAGGTGGCCAATCCTCTCCAGGGTTTGACTGGGACCCTGGCTCCCCCAGCTATCACCTTCATCATTCTCCACAGGACAAAGACAGGTTCATAGCTCCCCTCCCTAGACTGGGCAATCCATCTTCACAACCACCACCCTCCTTGGCTAGTGCTCACTGGAGCCTCCTCATGGATTGCCTTGTTAGGGCACAGCCCAGGATCCCCACTCTCCAGCACAGAGAAGTGAAGCACCCCACAGAGGTCACTCAGCCATCAGAACTCCCAACTCCATCCT